TTATGGTTTTAGCCTTCACCTGGAGAAAGTATAAAGAAAATGTTCAAATGAGATTGATTTGTGTAATAAAGGGATGGGGAAATTGTAGGGTATGTAGACATCTGTTATATTATACCTCCTCCCGTCTCGGAACCCAGTTATTGGAGCGAAGGTCGAGGACGTCTCGAACCATGAACCTCAGCCGGGCAGCGAGCTGAGGATTTGTCGACAGATCTCTCAAGCGGTTGAAGTACATGTCGTTGATACGCTTGGATTTTTGGTTCTCATCGAGCTGCTTGCCGATGGTGATGAAGAATTGGCAGATTGCCTCGACGTTCTCCTCGGCCGGGCAGATCTTGGTGTCTTGTCCCAATAATTCCTGATTGGAAATCAACCGATTAGAACAATTAATGAAGAATTAAACTAGATCGCAAAGTAAATAAATTCGAAAATTTACCAAAAGATTATATTGTAACTAAAAGATAAATGGGAAAAAAATCTAAAAAATAAAGTCAAGTATGGGAAAAGAACATGTTCTGGTCCTAATGAAGATCGTTTTCAGTACATAACAGACAAGCAGGAGATAAAACAACCTCATTGCAACATATTAATGGAATCAAAAGGGTGTACAGGAGGATAAAAACCTGAACAATATGATGAACGATCTTTTCGGGCACCATCTTCTGCTTGAGAAGCTCTCCGATCAAGCGGATGTTCCCAAGCGTGCGGAGTTTGACCAAACGCTCTTTATCCCTTCGTTCCTGCTCCTGGTCGGGAGCAGTCATCTGTCTGACCTCTTCCCTCAATTTGTCAGCACCTTCAAAAGCCTCCTGGCAGTTGTTCAGGAGGACACGTTTGAACGTAATTTCTTTTCCACCGGGTTCATCAGATGGGAAGGGAGGAAGCTTCTCGTTAAGATCCGAGCACAGCAGGGCATACATGGGACAGAATGTTGGCTCCAGGACTGCCTTGTCAAATATCAAAGAGATAACTTCCTGCAGCCAAGATAAAGAACATAAAATGATCTCCCAGAAGTTATAACTAGTTTCAAGTCTGACCTCCAAATCAACATACTATACCTTCAGAATATCAGCTGATGTGATTCCAGAGTCGATCAGTTGGCCCTTTAGAACATCAAACTTCTCAGGAGTAAGCTTATTCAGTATGCTGCAAGAAACATAAAAATATCCAAGCATTGTTTCAGGTTTTTACGAACAAGGAAGTCATAACTCTAATGAGTAATGCATTTGAAGCTACAAAGGATATCTCAACCAGTCATCATCAGATCATCAGTTTTAGACCTTTTGAAAAGTGTATGTACAGATTACATTTCAATAAACTCCATCAAAATAAGCAAGTCAAAAGCAGATGTGAGTCTGTGGTTAAGGACAGGAATTATCAAAGTTACACATTAAAAATAAAAAACAAGGTTGTATTGAAACTAGAGGGACTAAGCAACTGTAAAGCAGAAGGTGAAAGAAGGATTACCCCTTGACTGTTTTTAAAACACGGTCCTTATCGGAAAGTGTTCCTCTTCGAGCGGACCATGGCACCTCAGCTTTGATTAAAGCAGCGGCAGATCCAGCCTGTTTCATTAGCAATATATGTATTGTAATAAATATTGATTCACTAACAAGACAGGTATGTTCAGTTCTGAAAATAACATTGTCTGATGGCCAAGATATTCTCAATTTCTACTGTCAATGAACACACACATAATAAAGATCAAAGGTTCCTAAGGCATTGCAGATATCTTATTTGCATGCAATTAACAGTCCTCACAACAAACAAACCCACATATATATAATTTGAAGCTACAGCTAATAACCCTCACATGTTCATCACAAAATGGGTACCATGCAAAGAGAACAACAAACACGAATACAGTAAACTGCTCAATGTATATTTGCAAGGCTGGAGAAAGGACCAGCAAGAAGTTAGATTGCAGAAGGATGTATAATATAATAATGACTTCTGTAAATAATCTCCCATTCCCATAATCATCAGCACCATAAGAATAGGCAGTGTTTAACATGAGTTGCGGGAACCCCATAACAAAATAATAGGAAATAAATTACCCCTTGGTTGGACACTCTTGAGAACTGCGAGTTGAGCTGGTCTTGCTTATTGAATTGGTTTGCATCCTGTTGCCTAGGGTCAAACCGCCCACCAAAGTCTCTGTCCCTTATTGCTTCCCATGACCTCTCCTCTGTAGGGGCAGGAAATTGTGCAGATCGATTACGCCAGTCACGGTTGTCCGGTTCAGAATAACGACTCTGAGCTTGGGTCAGGGGCTACAATAAGTGATTGAAAAAAGGTGAAGCAAGGAAACAAATGTAAAGTTATACTTTAAAATTTTGTTTTATGAATTTAAGAAAGCAGTTATACCATATAAAAAAGACATAACTTACATTATTCTCTCCACGACTCCAGTTAGGATCTGAACCATAAAATTCAGCTTCAACTTCTTGTTTCACTTTTAAAATATCATCAGGGATGTTGACGATCTACAAAAAAGTTAAAGAATTTAGGGGCGACGCCACACTCAACATCCAGGCCCAGCATAACCTCGGAAGAATATTTAGTTCAATTCATTTGCACATGAGAATGAAACATGCACTTAAATGAGAAATGCAAAAGTAGATTGAATCACATAAATTATGTAAACAGTGGAAGTAGCCAAATTAGCAATAAATCAAAGGTTAAACTTTAAGCTACAAGCCTACAATAAATGTGAAAAGCATCATACAAGGTATCAGCCACATTTATTGGTAAGACTCATAAATGACAATCTTTGTGCTTGTAGCCTTGTACACATGTATAACAACAACAAGCCTTACCTCCCTTAACTGCATTAGCTGGTCTCTAGAATACCGAATACGTTCATGGCCATCAAATCGAGATTCTCCAGTCTGTGATCAATGAAATAAAAGTGAGAACAATGGTTAGAGACAAATTGCAGATAGTGAAGCAACATACTCCCCACAATCAAAAAAACATAAAAAATCACACAATCAAGAATAGAAGATGCAATTACATTGTCAATTAAAGATCAAACAAATTACAAAATGCGGATATGCATAAATAGAATGGACAAACATGTGTGAAACAAATTCAATAAGTAAGATAATGTATTATTAAGAATATGGGAGCTGATATAAATGCCGTCTGTCTATCACCAGAAACAAGCAAACCAACAATAGTCATATCAAGATACTATAAAGATATCAGGCAGTAACATGTACATATGCACTTCCCACACAAAAGAGACAACGCGTGGCCACAATAACACAAAATCTCATTTAGATGAGACGTATACTAACGGATCACTATGCTATTTCACATGATGCGAAACCATGGAACTGTATAAGGTGAAGAAACAATTGCACGTTGCGGAGGTACGTTCATCTATAAAATCATAATAATGTGCTATAACTCAATTTTCCATATCCGCAGGTTTCTTTATGGACATCCCAACACTCCTTGCATGCCCACCTAAAGCCTACGTAACACTATACGTCCATATTTACAGCAAATACACATCTTAAGTGCACTGCCAAGAATTAGGACGATGGTAAACAGATCCAAGCTCACATGAGTAGAGGCGGTACTGGGGACTGCAAATGGAAGTCTTAAGAACGAGAATTTAAGTTCAATTGGCTCAAATCCTTTAACATGAGAAAAAAAGACTTCGATTGAATATGTGCTATTTGCACGAAAAAACTAGTTCTAGTTCTCAACAAATAAGAACTACGGGACCCCGATTCCAACAAATCCTCTATCTAGTGCACATTTGACAGATCTTCAGATTCTCATATCAGACTAAAATCATCCATATACCATCGAGGAGTCATGGTAAAGAACATATATTTGTAACTAAGAATGTTCACTACATTAGGCAGAAAATTAAATTGAAACAAATAAGCAGAATCTACAAGCATCACAGGCAGAGATATCCAGCATACAGATAGCCAATCACAGACATCCATATTAAAAGAAATCAGTAAATCCGAAAACAACAAAGAAAAACGAACAACTTTTCATCAGAATCAATCCAGAGCAGACTCAAAACCACTAGATCTGAAAAAAATACTCTTCAAAAAACAACCTTGAAAGCAGGGAGGGAAGATGCAGCGGCACCGCCATGAGGACGCAGCAGCGGAAGATCGGAATTGGCCGCCCCAGTAGAATCAAAGCGTGGGCCGGTTACTCTACCACCGCGGGCACCACCACCAGGTCTCAAGCTCAACACTGTCTGATCAGCCTGCATAACTCGCAAATCGGAAAACTCTGCACCGTTCAATCCAACACAAAACTATTCTCAAGAGGAAAGCTAAAGCTAATCTATGTATCAGAAATATATATATAGAGATTTCTAGAGAGAGAAAGCTGTTTCCTCTCTCTACTTGGGAGAAGGAAGGAGAGGAGGTGAGGATGGAGGGTACGATCTCTTTATGTATGGCGATGAAGAGAGAGAAAAACCCTGATTTATTAGAGGGGCTTGAGGGGCCGTAATAAGCTAGAATATATGGGGGGGTTTCGAAATATAGAAAAATTGAACAATATGCTTTGTAGGGTGCGGATTGTTATATTTTAAAATTGTTAGGGGTGAATTGAAATTTTCAGTTAAATTGTGTCGTCTTTGGGAATGATTCTGAATCGTTTCTTGGATGGGATTAGGATTTCATGATTTATTATTAAGGCAAAATAAATGGGCTTTTTCTGGAAATATGGAAATGTAATTATTATATTTTTATAAGATGTCGGGTGTAAATTGAAATTTTCAATAATATTATGTCATTTATGCGAATTATTTTCATCCTTTCTTGGCTAGGTTTAGGATTTCGTGATTTAGAACAATATGCTTCGGTTAAAAAAGCATACACGAATATATGACTATTGCCAATAATTCTTTTATATTTTATGGTCCATTTTATTAGGAAAATAAAAAAGAATATAAAAAAGGTAAGTTGTATATGTAGTTTAAAGTTATTTATTATACTCCCTCATATTTACAATAAGTGTCGTTTTGAAGAGTTGCACAATTATTAACAATATTTTTTTGTCAATAATAACCTTTAATAATGAGGATAGAGATGAATATTCTGAGAAAATATGAAGAATGTATATGAAAGACTGTAATGTATTTATTACCTAGATGAGGGTAATATCAGAAAAACATGTATAAAATTAAAATATCCAAAACGACATTTATTTTGTTAATAGTTGATAATGTCATATGACATTTAAAATGAATATGAGGTAGTATAATATATAGTGACTTCAATTGACGCACATATCGATATCGATATATATAATAAAAAAAACAAAAAAAAAACTTTTTAGTAAAAATAGTAAGAAAAAAAATTGGTAGCATTTAATACATGTATTTTTTAAACATTTTTTTTTTAAATATATCATTAATTGTTTTCACATTTTCAAATAAGATTAAATCAGATATGATCAAAAATATTGTTTCCTTATATATTTTTACTAACATTTGTAATAATTTCATTAATATCATTATAATAAATTACAAAATTGATTTTCCAGTGATTTATGTTGATAATGTTTTGGTCAAGATAAATATTATTACAACATATTTTAAGTTCTAACCATAATATTAAATTTTTTTCACATATATTCACTTTTTATCCAAAAATATTTATAGAAAAACGTAACCAATTAGGTAGAATTTTTATTTTTCACTTAATCAGACGAAATCAAGTTGGTGAATTAATTTGCCAATATAATTTTCTTAGCTTTATTTTGTTATATATAAAAAATAAAGTATTCTTTAAATTAATATATTTAACATTTAAGTAGATAATGACCAAATACATTAAATAGTTTTACTAATGATTAGAAGTTAAAATTGAAATATATTAATTGTTCTTTAGAATTTATTTGTATATTATTGGCAACCATGATTTTTTTTATTTATTTCTATAATGAAATTCTTGTAAAATATATTTTCATCGCATATTATGCTAAACAAACTATAAATTCTTATAATGCGAATTAGAAAAATCTTTATTATAGAAGGGATTGAGTTTTTATACTTTTTAAATCAAAAATTGTTTAATTAGTATACAAAATTAAATTCTAAAAAAAACATGTGTGTATACTTTGTAAAATATTCATACACTATCTAATTTTAGATTTATTTACATGTTTTAAATTGATTACATAAAGAAATAATACTGACTTACATTAATTATTTTCATTACATAAAATAAAAAAGAAAAAGAAGACGTACAGTTATAACTCTTATAAATATAATAACATTATATGACAACAAAGTTTATAATAAAATAATAATTAAATATTATATTGTGAACAAGACAATAAGTAAAACTATTATTTTCTCTTATATCAAAGAATAAATACATTTACTAAAATCAAATTTATATTAGTATGCTTACATTAAATGTTATGACTAAAAAACAACACTGATTAAAAGAGGTGGAAAATAGATTATAATTCTATTGTTTTTTAGACTTAACGTTGATTAAAAGAGGTGGAAAATAAATTATAACCCTATTGATTTTTAGACTTAACGGACAAAGCCTCATTTAATATATATGTCTCGCACATTGCACGAGTTACGTACTAGTATATATAATAAGAATAATCATTTATTAAAAAATAGTAGTAGAAAACTTTAAGAGCATTTAATGTATACCTTTATTTGGAAACTTTTTTTGAATATATGCATTAATTGCTTCCGTATACACTTTTTGAAATAAGATCATATCTAATATGATAAAAAGTATTGTTGGAGTTCACGAGGTAAGCAAGATGGGCCGCGAAGTTGTTATGATTTCTTAAGGACTCGCGGTACATTAATGCCATGGTCGGGGGTAGTTTGGGCCCTTGCAATACCCCTTCATTATTTGGTTGGTAGTGTTCAATCGTCTTCGTACAAAGGACCGATTAGAGTTCCTTGATGTAGACCGAGTTCCTTCTTTATGGTGATGTTGTTAAAGGATGGGGTTGCCTATTTTTTGACTGCCCCTTTAACTCGGAAATTTGAGGTTACCTATTTTTTGACTTGCTCTCTTTGGGGTCAAATGTGGTTGTCCTCTTAGACTTATGACTTGCAAGTCAGGAGCCGCGCATATAGTTGCCCACTACGCTTTTGCAGGTTGTTGTCGGTCGTTCAAACACCAATTTTGATCTATGAATTTACTTTTTTCGATCAAAAAATAAAAATGAAACAACTTATTATTATTATTATTATTATTATTATTATTATTATTATTATTATTATTATTTTTATTATTATTTATTTATTTATTATTTGTTTTTTTATTTTTTTTCTCTCTTTATTTGGCTTTGTTGCTGCTGATAAACGATTGCAACTTGTATCAACACATATGTTTTTGTCATTGAATCATGTAAAAGTAGTAAGTTTCTTGAGATTAATTTTTAAAAAGACAAAAATGCTGCAGGTACTAAATTCATTGGGAGCATAGTTTTCTGACATGGACCAGCCCGGCGGGTTGACCTGAGACCCGGTCAACTCGGAGTCGGAACCAGTCCGGGTGGGCTATTTGGACTGGGCAACAAAAGCCTCGGTCAAAACCCGGCCTTGACCCGGCCAACCCAGGGCATTTGACCCGGCCCATATATATATATATTTTTTAATTTCTTTTTTATTTTTTTTATTATTTAAAAATAAAACTATGTATATATGGTAAATATTTATCATGAGATACATATTTAGTTTTTCACACCGCCCATATGCGATAGACTGCATAAAAATATGGTACATATATAGGGAAAAAAACTTTTTTCACCCCAATACAAAGATATATTAAGTTTTCCACACCGCCCACTAACAATCTAACTTTTTCACCCTGGAAAGTGCGAATGTTATGCGATAAACTGCATAACTGTCGCATATCAATTGCATAACTGTCGCATATTAATTGCACAATGCATTCGCATTTTAACTTTTTTTCACCCCAGAAAGTGCGAAGGATATGCGAATGCCTTCGCACTTTTAACTTTCGCATAATGTTATCGCGCAATTGTCGCATATTCATCGCACAATGTCTTTCGCACTTTAACTTTTTTCACCCCAGAAAGTGTGAAGGATATGCGAATGCCTTCGCACTTTTAACTTCTGCATAATGCCATCGCGCAATTGTCGCATATTCATCGCACAATGTCTTTCGCACTTTCTGGGGTGAAAAACTTAATTTTTTATTGGGTGGTGTGAACAACTTAGCAGGACTTGAAAATAGGGTGAAAATAGTTATTTTCACTATTATTAACACTTTAATGTACAAATTTTATACACAAAACATTTAATTTTGTTACTTTTATGTGTATTTATATGATAAATATACTCTATATATAATTTTAAAAATTTTAAAATTAATTACCCGATTCAACAATTGACCCGGTGACCCGACGGTTGAACAGGTGACCCAGAGAACCTGCCCGGGTCGATTACCGGTCCGAGTTTAAAAACTATGAATGGGAGAGATTAATATCTAATTTTGTTGTACCTCGAACAAAATCTTTTTTCACTCTACCATTTTAACAATTCAAAAGCATTCATGCGTATGAAAATCCAAATTAATTTTAAGAAACTTCAAGGGGTCATTTATTTTGCATGATGGGATAAGACAAATTAATCATAACCACTTTCCATGTCAGCATTTAGTCCCTTATTTACTTTTCGGGATGGAATTTGCATAAATGAATCCCTCATTTACTTATATGGATTAAATGAGATGATATACAAGTCAAAGACTACATTGCCCTTCTTGAATAAATCGATTTCTTCCTTCTTCCTTCGATCAAAATATTACCCTAATTCTGCGCGACCGACGAGAGCATATCTTCACTCCCGACGAGAAGCCGCGAGTCCTCCGTTCTGTACCAAAACGACTTCATCTTTCTCCCCCAATCACACGACTTCATCCTATGAAGAGTCAAAAAAATAAGCAAATAACAACTGAACTCATATGACAAATTATACAGTTGAAAGAGTCAAAAAGACTGTACCACAACCAACACAAATACATGAACCACATAACACTGCATATTTCTCAACATAAACATATAACCAATGGATGCAAGATTTTTAACAAGAAGTAAAGCATAATGAAGGTGCAATTACTTGACAAGTTTCTACCAGTACAATAGAATGAAGTCAAAAATGATATAGCACTACACAGAAGGCCCTTAAGCAGACCATCTTATACCTGTGACTGACTTGGTTCAATTTTTATGCCATCCTTTTTTTTTTCTTGTAGCTGTGAACTAAATTAAAGATTACATGGTATACCTTAGTGAATTCAGCTACCTCGTCATCATCTTGGTACGCATATGAGTAACAAACACAGTTTAAACAAATTAAGCAAATCACAATGAACTAATATCTCACCAGATAACACAGTAACACAGTGAATGCCTCCCAGATAAACAAATGACCAATCGATGCAATAAAATTACCAACAGACTAATCAACTGGCAGAAGGTTAAGGTGTTTACCGGTCACGGAGAAAAACTCGTTGTTGTTGCCGACTGAAAATGGAAGTGTATTCGTCGGCAAAGAAACAAACATTGGGGAAAAACAACCATATAAAAAAAATGAATTAATAATCCAAACTGATGGAAGAATGGAGAATCGAAATTCAAAAGGTAATAGTGCGAGTCTGGAACTAACCTTTGGACGCGACGGAGAATCCGAAGCTAGGGCAAATTACTCGCCTTCGTTTCTGCAGTACCTAGGGCAAATTGCTCGTCTTCAAATTTTGGTCGCCGAATGTTGGGACAAATCGAATGAAATTGAAATAAAAAATGAAAGTAGAAACAAGAGACGAGTTCACCTTACGAATCAGAAGCTTGAACTTCTTCCCAACAATGGCGTCGCTTCTTTCTGCACTGCAGCTAGGGCAAATGCCGATTTTTGCCTTTTATTTGTAATAAATCTATAAATTCAGCAAAAATAAGAGGTATTTTTGTCCATTTACACCAAAATATGAGGGTAAAATAGGTAGGATGAAAACGAGTTTAAATTGTCACGTGAGGGAGCCGGGATTTTTTTCTCCGAAATTTGCCGATAAGCGCGTGCCACATGGACGCCAGGTCAGCCTAATCCTATCTCAATCCCCCGGAGTAAACGTGAGATAGCCGGGATTATTTCCCTTATCTTGTCCTATCCCTCGAAGTAAACGACCCCCAACTGTAAACTACTTCAGCTGTTCTTATAACCCAAAAGATGCACAAGATGCCTTAGTATATGTCAATGCTCACTTTCACATTTCCCTTTAGTAGTTGTTCTGACAAGATAAATACATAGAGAACAGAAAACAAAGAGATCTAGCCAGTAAACTACACAGAGGGATAAATAAAAATGATTTTTTTCCCTAAACTAATCGCTAATCTAAAATTACTATGCCAAAGAGAGACATCGATATACATCCACGAAAAGAACATTGTGTTAGCCATCAGGGAGGAGACGCAAAGCAAATGTTGTTAGCACCATCACGTTCAAATCTCTTGAAATTTTGTCGACTTATTTAATCGAATGTAGACTGTGCCCCGTTTTTCATTGTTTGTCTCATTTGTAGAATATGAGTCCTGAGGCAGTCTTCTTCCACCTGTTCAATCGCATTCAGCTTCAATATCAGCATATTTTGAAAATATTTTATTACTCGTCTGATTATATTTATATAGAGGGTTTTCTTGACTGGCCTGCAATTTGGCTATAGAACCCAACAGTGATTCGCACTCGTCCAGCATTGCTCTCTGGCGTGCTGCCACATCAGCGAGCTCCAGGACCAACCAGTTCATCCCCTCGACCTGTATGTATTATTCAAACGAAATCTAAATTGATTGTATATTACATATCACAAAAACGGAAAGTGACTTAATCAAGGGTTGGATCCTTTTAAGGCCCAAAACTCAGATTTTGGTATATATAATGCTCATAATTTTGATGGGAACAAATATTTTAGAAGTGAATGAGCTCTCCCACCTTTGGGAGTATGGACCATAAGGAGGAACCCATTGAGCTCATCACATCAACAGCAGAGCACACGGCTTCCTTCAGGGTTTTAATATCGACCTTCAAAATTGAATTTTTAAATCATATTAAACTCCGATTAAAAGACTGGTGGTCTAGAATTAGTCAAATGCTCGATTTATTATACCCTTGCTCCTCCAGTGACGGGAATACGAAGGGTGCTGGCCTCGAGATCTTGGATGGCCCGCGTTAAAGAGTTGGTATGGTCCTTCTCCAACAAAGTCCACTCTTCAAGAAAGATTGCCTGTGAAGGTGGCTATGAGTTGGCAAAATGTAATCAACCGTCCGCAAAATTCTAAATCTAAATCCGCCTATAATAGAAATATTGAAAACATATCAAGATTCAAGAAGACTTGATGATGCCAATGAAGTGACAACATCAAGAAATACCAAGAATCTGTAATTGCACATTTAAGTTCATTGCAAGAACCTGCACTTATCATAATAAATCTGCAACGCCTTAGAAGCTACCTCATTATCTGCGAGTTTTCTTGTCTAACTATTCAATCCTCAAAAAACACATTTTAGTTTCTCAAGTAAAATATTGGTTCTGATTAGGTAGTATATGAGCTTGTGTGGCTATGATGAGATTATGTCTATAGTTTCTCATTAAATCATATCCAAAATACAATTTCAACTAACCACCTATCTGTAAGGCTGAAAATTCAAAGGAGAAAACATGTGTCAAAACTCAAATTGATATCATCAATGTAGTATAAAGGCAATAATAAGAATAAGGTAACATTACTTGACTGTCCAAAACTGAGTAGACCTTCAACTTAAGCTTCAATTGCTGGAAGTCAGATCTCTTTTCCCTTACCAAACTCCAGAGATCTATGATTACTCTCCACACATTACACAACATTTTCTACAGCAACAAATAGAGAAAAGCAATTAGATGTGATTATGTATTCAGATACTCAGATTTGTGCATAGGAAAAGGGCATTTAGATGATCTAAAAAACAATTCAGACAGCCAGTGAATCAATAAAAGATGACTAAAAAAAAATTTAAGTACACAACCAAACATAGACTCAGACCAAACAAACCTCTGCTTTTGCTTTCTGAGAACGCAACAAAGCAACAGCTCGTGCATTCGCAAACCGCCACTGCAAATGTCTATTGTACAACAGCCTCAGTTGATGGGCATCCTCAATGTTACGATCAACCTTCTTTCCCTTATTAATATCCGCCATAAAAGTGAGAACCGAAGCCGAACTATGGGAATTATTTCCTTTCGGGCTGGACGGCCTCACCCTACCCGGACTAGACCCTCTACTGCAAGGACCAACTACCTTGGCACGAGAGGGACTGACCCCTCTGGACGTTGAAGGTGATGAGGGCCGTGATCTAGAAACCGGCTTCGGTGACGAGGGCCGGCTTCTATCTGATGAACTCGAGCTGGGTCTCTGTGACCTTAACCAACGATCATCAACTGAATTCCTAGACAGCCCTGCCACTCGACTTTCATCACGGGACATTAGCATTAATAAGTCGCTGGCGGATTTCTGAATAGGTTTGCTTGCCATCCCATCAAGAGACAATCTCCGAACAGGAGGCGTGGTGATGGTTGGGACCACCCTAGTACGGGACAAAGACGGAATTTTGCTCGTCTTATCGAGAGTAACATCAGCTTTTAGCACGGGATTTGCAGATGTTTTCCCACTCACTCTGCTTGGCCATTGATGCCGTAAAATATCGAAGGCAGGTTTTGAATTCTCCACCAAGTCGGGAGAATTTTTCCCCTTGAGTGGGCTCCGTTTTCTTTCCGGCGTGGGCTTTCTGGCTTCAACCACACGAGCTACATTCGAGGGCGGCCTCAGAGTGCGATCCGCCGTTTTTTCACTCTTATCCGATTGAAAGGAGCTGTTGAGACTCCGCATAGTGGACGGCCATAGAGAGTCGGGCAGCTTACTGCCAGCTGTCTTGTTTGACGCAAAAATTGATTCTGCATTTGTGTCACGAACTGGGGTATTCGGCCGTGAAGGTGTGGACGGGCGTTTTCTCTCAGCCGATAAGGATCTCTTTGGGGCCGCTACTGCAGAGGACGATGATAATGTTCGGCTGGTGGCGTTTGGTGAAGGGCAGCGTTTTGGAACATTACGTGTGGGGGATGGGCAGCGTTTTGGAACATTAGGAGTGGGGGATGGGCAGCGAGTTTGACCATTGGGTATGGGTGACTTGTACCTCGAGCTAACTTCTCTTGTTCTGCCCCTGCGCGTGGTCCCATTCTTCAATGGGTTCTCTGATTCATATACATCCATTCAAACTGTGAAAATTAGATCTCATTGAAGTTGCCTTTCTTAGTAAGAACCGGCATTGACGTACTTTTCACAGCAGTACTAGTGATTATAATTTACGTCGAATGTCTCTAAAAGGAGATACTTTCCAGTAGCCAGAATCTGCCATAAGACATTTGCAGCCAAATTACACAAATGGGGAAAAAGAGAGAAAAGGGGATGAACATATGGCAAGGAGTGAAAAGGAAAAGATGCTCAAAGAAGAATATATCTTTACAGAAAACCCAGATCACAAGCATAGTGAACTTTTTTATAAATTCTGACATGAAAATAGAAGTAGATGGGCTTCACAATCATCAAAACTCCATTCCAGAAAATATTCAAGGAAACGACATGGCTGGCAAAAGAATATAAGAAAAAAAAAAGCCTGAACTCTCTTTGCAAGTGATTTTTCACTATTGTTTTTGCTTCACTTTCATTTTCTTGATTCCTCTTTTCAATTTTGGTCCCCAGCAGCCATTTGTCCCTCCCACTGGAAATGACATGGCTGGCAGGGCTGGAGCTGCATATGCAACTCGCTCACACAGTCACACATACACACACATTTAGTATGCAACACTCACATCACACAAGCCGGTTAGCCCTTCTGTCTTGTTCCTTCTTAGCCCCCACTCAGATCCTTTTCATGAAAGATAAATTCACTGATAATGACTCCTACTCCCATTTCTCTCTCACCCACACACACATACACACACAAAGATGCACAAATATACACAAGTATGATTAAATGTGATTGGAAATTGAATGCTCACATATACACACATACACACAACCATAAACACAAAAACACATAGTGGTCTTGGCCCACTCTCACCCCAAATTTCAGGGCAGGTCAAAAGGTAAATCATAAACTAATTGCAGTAAAAAAAAGTAAAGCCACATTACTAGAGCACAATGGACTTATCTTGGGATCAAGCAGAAA